ATGCTTCCTATCTTCTGTACCACTTCGCAGGAAATGTAAGACACAGAGAAACATGCGAAGGACACCACAAGGAGGCAAATAGCAAAATCTAAGATGTAGGAAACCTTATTAGGACAAATGATTTGGTAGTTTGGGATAAATTACCAAAGGAAAAAGAAAAAGAAAAAAGAGATGAAGAATTTATAGATTAAAAGAGATGTAAGAGAACTATCAATCAAATGCAATGTGGACACTATTTGAACCCTGATTCAAGCAAAGTGTAAACTACATGTGAGACAAATGGGGAAATTTGCACACTGGATAGTTGATGATACTAAGGAATTATAAAGATATGTAGGTGTGACAATAGTTGTATGGTTGTGCGCATGTAAATAAGTCCTATCTTTTAGATACATATTGGAATATTTACAGATGCAACGTCAGGTCTGGAATTTGCTTCAGAATTATCCTGTAGCAAGATGGAGAGTGACAGAGATTTAGATGTAGTGAGATTGGCCAGGAATTAAGGATATGCCATAGCTGGGTGATGGTCCTTGTAGGTCCATTGTACTATTTTTTGTATATGTTTGCAAGTCTCTATAATAAGTTTAAAAAGAAAGAGATGGGGAAAGTCAAACTTTAAAGTCAGGGAAGGTTCTAGGCCAGCGTTTTGACTTGGCGGTGCACAGAGCAAGTTAGAGGGAGGGCAGCTGGGGAGCTGAGAGGCAGAAACTATTAGGGGCCAGGCTGCACCCAATGCAATTTGAGTAGGAAAGTGCAAGTAGGCCAGTGGCAATATAGGGTTAGAACTTGGGAGAGAAGTCCCTGCACTTGGGACGATTACAGCCATGAGCATCAAGAAGCTTCCAGAGGACAGAGAATCAATAACTGCAGCTCAATATGTCCACTTAGGGTTTAGAGAAAAAGATAAGAAGAAGCCGGCTGAACCAGCAAAGGAGACCATTAGCCCATTCCTCCATCTAAAGTTTACTTTTGTTTTGTTAAACAACAGCAACACTTAGTAAATAAGGAGCTAGATTTCACTTTGGCCACCTAGAGATTTAAAAAAATATATGTATGTATATTTTCCAGTTAAGGTGAAATAGCTCAAAACAATGTATCTTAAGGACACAGTCAGGCTCATCATCTCTAAACTGCAACCCTAACTTCCCTTTGGAGGTTGCACAATGTTATCGTGACCTGGAGCTGGCTCTCTGGTCTGTGTGGCCAGCTTTGGGCCACACACCAAATGCACTGGAGTGGGAGGTGGCCAACAGCTCTGTTTCTCACATTTTATTTTCAAGGATCTAGACAAGGACACCAGGTCAAAAGAAACCGGATTCCCGGCACCACTCTCCAACCTGGTGATCACGCGTTCATGGCCTGGGCCTCACCTCACCTGTTGCTCTTCAGTCCTTCTGAGTGCTCACTGCACTTGGCTTACATGTAGAAGTCCACAGAAGAAGCAATTTTCTTTTATACTTTGATTCTCATCTGCCTAGGAGAGTGATAGCTTGTTCTCAGTGGTTGACTTTTCTATGCAAATATATTTATGGCAAGTGTGAGGGAGGAAGAAACTTTCTTCTACCCCTCAAGGTTCTGTTGGCTGGTCTAATGATTAAATCTACATGAGACAGATTAGCAAGAGAAAATAAGCAAATTTAATTACATACACATGTAATAAACATGAGAGTCAGAAACCCCGCATACATGAGAGGGTCAGAGACAGAAAGGAAAAATGAGGTACATATGCCATTCTGAGCTAAGGATGAAGTAAGGCACTTTGGAGCTCCAAAGGGTCACTGCAGCACAATAAGAGCAGATATTCAGAAATTAGTAGTTTGCCCTGCCATATACATCAGTCAACAAATGTTATCTCTGATGATCTCTCATAACAGGCAAGACCCCTAACGCATATTCTTCTAGGTAGTTAAGAGGAAAGGGGACAGACGTTTCTTGTGAGCCTGGAGGGTGTTGACTGCCTTCAACTCAAAATAATTCACATGCCAAAGTGGCACATTTTCAAGAGGCCTTTTCTGAATGCCTACATAAAAATGGAACAAAGGGATGATGAAGGGAAATGACACGCCAATAGCCTCCCAGAGTCAAATCGTTTTAAACAAAAATGTTAGAAATTTGAATGTCTGGAAAAAAAAAGACAAATCTAAAGAAGGCATTACAAAACCGCTTGCCCATAGTCAGAATATTTTCTTCCTGCAGCGCAGTGTACTATATTGCAAAGATCTGCGCACAGGTGTATTTCCCTTGCTAGACTAAGTTTGAGATCAGGACTGTATGTTGATTACCAGTATTCTGAAAAGTGCCTGACTCATAGCAAGATTCAAACATGATTTAATCAGTGATGATATGCACGAATACAGAAATAACTCTGAGGATTTTAGGGAGTAGAAACTATGAATTAGACACTACCCTTTCAAAATCCCTTCAGAGTAGGACATACACATTTGTTCTGTCACTTAAAGCACTTATTTTTAAAACTATATGCGTTTCCAATGTCATGAAATGACAATACTTTCCTATCATAGCATGATGATTGAGGTAAATCAATGAGATACATAAATGAGAGGTACTTTCAATGTTTCTTAAAGGAAAGAGGAACAGCTGTTATTTCATAGAAAGACCACAAAGAAAATTTTTAAAAAAACAAGAAACAGTTGGCCTGCATTTTTTCCCGCACATTGGTCTCTTAACTTGGGATTTGTTCTTTCTAGGCACCAAGGGAAAATGGGCTGCCAGCTCTACACTCAAATTGGAAGGTCAACCCCAAGAAGGTTTAGCTATTAGAACACAGAGGGGGCTGCTATGAGAGCGCTCACTCCTGATCACTGCCTTCCTCTCCTGCAAAGCACGTTCTCAGGCATCTGCAGGTCACATGGTCCGCCTGGCTTGTCCCCAGTTTCAGCGCCCACCCTCTTCAGGCTGCAAGGTAAGGCTGGATATGAACACACGGCTGCTGCTATTCCCTACAAAGTGTTTTCCCCCCATCTCAGATGTGAGTTAGGTCTTACAGGAGGGCTAGTTAAGCATTCTGCCAAAGAGAATTGCCAATGATTTACTGTTGCTGACAGTGCCCTTATTGGATTTCCACATAATTTAAAGACCTGCAACATGAAATGACCTCAGAGAACATTTAGTAAAATCTCTGCATTTTGAAAATCACAGAATTATCACTCAAAGTTCATAGTTTACATTAGGGCTCACTCTTGGTGTTGCAGTTTATGGATTTGGACAAAGGTATGACATATATTCACTATTATAGTATCATATAAAGAATTTTTTTTTTTTTACTGCCCTAAGAACTTTCTGTGCTCCACTTTTCCTGCTCACTCTTGGCAACCAATGATCTTTTTATTGCCTCTACAGTTTGGGTGATGATGTGTCAGTGCAAGTTCATCAATAGTAACGGATGTGCCACTCTGGTGGGGGATGTTGATAACAGAGGAGGGTATACATGTTTCAGGACAGCAGGTATATGGGATATCTCTGTACCTTCCTAAAAAAAGTTGTAAAAAATAAGAAATTTGAGATAGAAAAGTTAAGTGGCTTCAACAAGGTCACAGAGCCTCACAGCAAGGTTCACAGCAGAGCAAGATTAGAATCCAGCGGTCTTATGTTGCAAGCTTTATGCACCACAAATTATGCTACCTGCATCCCATACTCAGAAAAAGTCAAGAAATACTTAGTGAGCATCCATAATATGCTATTTCTTGGGAATACAAGTAAGAAATAGAGTTGGGGGAATCTCCCCTAGGTTCATTTGATTACCTGCTCACGTGAGTGAGAGGAAAGTGGGGATTGTCCTGAGGTTTACATCCGGGTTCTATTTTCACCCCCACATCCTATCCCAGCACCTCTACACTTTGTTAAAGCTGCATTCTGTGCCTGGAAGACTGGCCATGTTCAGCTGCTATTCACTCCTGAAGGAGAAGCAGCTCATTCATCACCTCTTCTGTGAAGCTTTCTCTGGGCAAAATGACTCACACTTTTGACCTTTCAGTACTTTGCAAATATGCTATTACAGATTTTGTAAGTATTGTAGTTACTTATTAGCCCTCCAATTAGACTGCAGCTCCCTCACAGTGGGATTGGATCTTAATCACCTCTGCATTTCCAGAAACAAACTCTGCGATGGAGTATAGTTTACGTGCTCAAAAAACTTGTGGAGAGGACACAGATTTCTTTGTGTCCTACCATTTCTTTTTCTAGAGTACAGTTTGAGCCTAGGAAACATTATAAAACAAAAATAAATATAGCTTCTATAATGAAGCAGCTGACAGAATATATTGAATATTGTAGATTTAAGAGTTCCAGTGGGGCACAAACTATGTATCACTAAGATACAAAAAAATTTGTTCCTTTACTTTAGAAAAATGACTGTCAACAGTATTGTAATTTTTCATTGATCTAAAACTGCTCATAACCATTTAGGGTAATAACAACAACAATAATAATAGGCAATCATTTGCTTTAAAAATAAAAAATCACATAAAATACATAAAATATATAAAGAACAGCTTGGTCCAAGCTCATGGATATTCACTCTATAGGAGTCATTTTGGAAGGTTATAAGTCTCACAATTATAAGGACAGTAGAAGGCACAGACTAAATAATAAACCTGGAAAAGAAAATCTATTATAAAAAAATCAGGTTTTAAATTTTGATCACATCTGAACAGGCAAAAAAAATTAAAGTCAGGTAAATAATTATTATTTATAGTCCTTGTTGCTTCAGGACCAAGAATTAAATTGTACTGAAGCAAAAAACAGTGCAATAAAGTGCCTTGCAAGTTTCAAATAACCATTTGATTCAAGAGTTAAAGAGACAAAATGAATGTTAACACATTGAACAAAAATAGTTAAGCTGCCTCTTCCTAGCACATGTACAATGTATTTTTAGAACCAAACTATTTTAGGTCAAAAAAACTTATCTTTTAAAAGTATCATTTACTCCTTTTTATAGGTTTCTGTAAATTGTATTTTCCCCAAACATGAACACAACATTTGATCTATTCATTTATTTTACTTCATAAGCCATTGTTAGAGGTATAAATATACGTACAGGCAGACCTCAGAGATATTGCAGTTTAGGTTCCATACCAGCATAGTAAAGTGAGTATTGCAATAAAGCAAGTCATAATCTTTTTATTGGTAGAGGATTTTGCCTTCAATTTGTAAAAAATGCAACACCTGTGATGGACAATAAAGCGAAGCGCAATAAAACAAGGCAAGCCTATATATCTAAAATGTGGGTATCCTACATATGTTTCCTAGAATTTAGTCATTGTATAGACTTTCTGACTATTTCAATTATTCATAAAAAGAATTATAGAGAAAACATGTTCGTTATTTATTGTAATTAAAGCATATTAATTATATTTTTAAAAGTTAGTTTTTTTAAAAAAAAGTCTCCATTTTTTCAATTTCTGATAATGGCCATCTTTTCGTTATTCACCTTAAAGATCAAACATAAAACAATGAGGAATGTAGGTCTATTTTAAAAATATAAATACTTGTGGTGACAGTTTAAATCATTTGGTCCTCACAAATAATACTTAACAAATCAAGTTCAGCTTAATTGCAGGTAAATGTAATTAATCACAAGGCTAGAATATTTTACTGTTCTTTTGGCTGCAGGTTATACTTTTGTGGCTGGAAAAAATATTCTTCAATAGCACTGACTAGTTCTTGAAGTTCTTTCTTCAGCTGCTCAGGGTCACTGCAAAATAAGGGGGATGGAAATTCCAGGTCAGTGGATTATTTCAAAGCATATTTTAGATTCTCCCCACGTTGACCAGGTAACACTGACATGTAACTTTAAGGGGAGGGCTAAGTCAGACAAAACAGAACTCCAGTGACTTCAGCATGGGAGCGCACCTGTTAACTGGGACAGAAAACAAACAAACAAAAAACCCTGAGAAAATACCCATTATTTTTCCCAAAGATTTTCCCAAAGTCTCTACATAAATGAAATCACTCCTTTCCAGTTCTCAAAAGAATTTTTAAGAAACGCAATTTTTGGCCTAGCATTTCTAAAAGATCTGCAATGTTCGTACCTAGCAGTACAGAGAAAACTTTTAGTACTCCAGTTGTCATTAAATCCTTCTAAACTTTTACAAGTGACATCTTTGTTATGTCCTAGTCTCCCAGGACAAAAAGTTTCCTGATTCTGTTTCCCCTTAAACTACTAGAGGCTAAGCAGCAGACTCATCTGTAAGGCCTTCCTAGGATGGGTGGAGATGGTGAGCCTCCTACAAGGCCTGCTAGTCACACACCAGGAACTCAGACCCCAGGGTTTATCTTTGTTATTCTACCTCCAGAACAAAAGGGCCAAAACTAAAGTGTAAACAAGAATCTAGGGAGCGAGATCCCTTTAAGGAAATCAAGTCTCAAGCATGTTGAAAACATTCATTCATATGCAAACAATTAGAAGGTCAATAATAAGTAAAATGAACTTGTAATTAGACAAGCTTCCAGCAGCTCAGGTAAGTGTCAGGCCACTAGCACAGTGAGTTACTTTAAAAACTTTTAAACCAAAAAGCTGATTTAAAAAACTAAATCCTTCTATTCAAACTGTCCGTACTTCATACTCGACCATCTTTAATATATACAAACTTTATTTTAATGGAAATGGCAATTCTTGTAATTAGTTAAGATCATTTTTACACTGCGATAGCTAACCAGTACAACTAAAACAACCCATTTTATTACGGACATTAATTCTGGCTTTGGAAGTTACTAGTGTGTGCCCTTGGGCAAGTAGCTTAGCCTCTCCAAGGCCCAGATTCCTCATTTGTGAAATTAGGATAAAGACTTTACTTTCTCAAGAGAGTTGTTGTATAGATTGAGATAAATTATATAAAGCAATTAGCATAGAACCTGTCCCCCAAAACCTCAATAAATGTAGCTCTCATTATAATTATTTTTACCCTCATGGTAACATATAAAGTAATTATGCTTCATAAGTACATATGAATCACAGGCGTTTTTTTTTCCCTTCTCCATAAGGTGCTTTGAAGAAAAAAATTCCCAGGAAGGCACACAACTAATAATGTTTGTGTTTTTTTTAACAATATACCTAAAACTAAAACTCATCAATGAATTACTATATATCTACATACAAATATAGATGCACGCACACATATATATATACCTCCTACTAATTTTATTTCTGTTTGAACCTTGCCTGATATAATTCTTATCTAAACTTTGAGATAGTAAGAGAATGTCCTTGTTCTTAGAAATGCATATTAAAGTCTGTGGTTCAGAAAAAAAAATGAAATATAAAATATATATGATGAGAGAGAGCAAAGATCACAAAATATTAGCAATTGCTGAGTCTAGGCTAGGGTAGGCAAACTATGGCTTGAGGTCCTCCCCCCTTTTTTTTTTGCTTATGACCTGTTTTTGTAAATAAAGTTTTATTGAAACAAAGCCACTTCCATTCTTTATGTATATGGCTGCTTTCTTGCTACAACAGCAGAGCTGAATAGTAGTGACAGAGACTATATGGTCCGTAAACCCCAAAATATTTACTATCTAGCTTTTTACAGTATAAAAGCTTACCAACCCCTGGTCTAAGTGACAGGTACGTGAATATTCACTGCATTATTATTTCAACATTGCTTCAAATAAAAAGTACTAAAAAAGGAAACTATTACTATTTCAGTATTATTATTACTGAAGTTAGGAGTGAAATTTTCTTATACAAAGTAAGTTGGGAGAGGAAGAGGAGTAATTAAGTAGGAAGTAGGCACTATTATCGCTAGACATTTCAAGCACCTGTTAACAGCACAATATTAATGTAGGTTCTTAAATAACTTTCCTAATTATATGCTATGTTGGAAAGATGAAATGTTTTACTTAAAATTTGAACAGAACCAATTAGGAAGTCTAGGGAATAAGTCAGAACAGCTACATCCATATCTTACCTATTTCCAGGTGGAGCACACAGTTCTGAATAGTACTTGATTTTGGGCTCCGTCCCACTGGTCCTCATGGTGGCCACGCATCCATTAGTAAAGGTAAAGGTGATCATTTGGCTGCTTTTACTAGTAGGGAGAATCTAGGAATTAATTACACATGTTATAAATTTAAATAGTAACATAAACTGTCCTGGTCTAAATAACAGTTTCTCTTGATAAACAAGAAAATAAATGCCAAACAAATATATTGGTTTAGGAAAGAAGAACATTTTGAGAAAAATCAGAAAATGTACTCTATATGAACGACATACTAAATAGTAATAACAATAATAAGGTAATCTGTGAAAATTAAGTAGCTTTGTATACTAGCTTTTTAAAAACATTTATTTATTTATTTTAATTAGTTTCAAGTATGAATGCTAGGTTTTTGCCTTCTCCATTCTATTCATTAAAGCTACTAAAGTTTTACTAAAACTGCAATACATAATTTCACAAGAAATAGATTATAATAGGTTTAAATGCATTACAAAAAAAGAAAAAGACAACATTAGATTTTATTTCTTTGCAAAAGAAAGTCTATAAAGAGATTTTTTAAAAAATAAAGCTTCTGGCAGATGTATTCATAGCTGATTGCTCTCAAAGTCCCACTAAAATGACAAAAATACAAAAAACGAAACAAACACAAGGGCAAAGAGGAAAAGAGGAAACAGCAGTTGATGGGTTGCCAACCAGTCCGGGAAGGGAGAAAACAGATGGAGGAGCAGAATCGACCTGATGGGACACAGGATTATGACAGCTGAGCATCTGCAGGAGACAGACAAGAACTGAATCAAGGTGCTCTGCAGAACACTGGCAAATCTCACTACTTGGAGGCACCAGGCACTGCAAAGGGCAGGGGAGAGAAGAAGGTAGTATGTGAAGGGAGCTATTAGACCCTCTCAGATCCTCACCCTCTGCCCACAGTCAGGCAACCAGCTCATAGGAGATGGTTTAATTCTGTGGTATAATTGAATCAGCAAGGCTCAGGAGTTGGGGACACCTGGCACTGTGGAGGGTGAAAACAGAGATTAATTCGAGCCCACAAACACACTAAATGTTAGAACCCTTCCTCCCATGCTCCCCGGATCTCTCCGCCACTTATAGAGCCTCAGCAAGCAATTTATAGCCCTCAGACAAGAGATTGGGATGAGAGTTAGGCTTCCCCAGATGGGACCCCTATACAAAGTTAATTTAATACCCAGTCTCCCTAGAGTGAAGTACGTCAGTTGCCAAGGCTTGTGCATATACACAGAGCTTCCGATAAGTTTTTAGTGCCCAAAAGATAATTAAAGATCACCAGATTTTAGGGGAAAAGACATCGAAGAAAAGACAAAGGCCAAAACAAACAAATAAATATCATAAAACTTGGAGAAAATAAAGACAATATAGAGAAAAAAAAATCTGCATTTTTAAAAAGGGGGTAACTAATATCCTTAAGAGAGCTAAGATATTACAGACATGAAACAAGAACAGAATTTAATTTTTAATAAATTAGAGAATAAGAGCTGAAATACAGTAAATGGAAGTACTGAAAGTTAATGTTGAGGAAAACTCTCCACAAGTAGGAAAAGAAGATACATATAGATGATAGGAATGAAAGAAACACGGCAAGTAGATCATCAGTCCTGGAGAGCCAGCATCTACCTAAAAATTTGTTGAAAAAGGGAGACCAGAGAACACAGGGGAAGAAGTTATTGGAAAAACGACCATCTAGTCCCTTTGACACAAAATCAAAAAAATTTCTCAGAACTAAAAGAAATGACTGCAGACCAACAAAGACCCACCAAATGTCTAAAATAGGGAATGAAAAGAGACCCATATTTTCATACATTGCTAAAATTTTAGAATCCAAAGTATAGCAGAAAGTTCCTAAAACTTTCCTAGAGAGAGAGAAAAAAAAAAGTTGCATAGGAAGGATGGGACAAGTATGGCATCAACACACAGCTCTAGTTTGAAATGAGTGAATGACTGGATGCTTAACAGCAACACCAGAACCCAACAGCTATGGAGCAATGCTTTCAAAACTGCGAGTCAGTAAAGTCTGAGGGTAGAATAAGACATTTTCGGAAATAGGTCTCCAAACATTTATCTCCCATTCACTTTTTCTTAGGAAGCTACTAGAGGATGTTATTTAGGAAAATAAATATAGTAGGAGGAAGTCATTGGGTCCAGAAGCAAGGGAATGACAAATGGCATTCCCAGGATGACAGCTGTGCACTCAAACCAGAGAGCAGCTGGCCCTGAGCAGGTGGAGGGAACAGGAGAGAGGCCAATGGAAATGAAACAGAACAGCAGACTAGCCGAATCGTTGGACCATGTGGAAACCCTACCAAGGCATATTTGAAAGATGTGGGAAGAACTGGTGATAGTTATACAGAAGTTCAAGCAAACAAAAGAACAAAGCAATAATTAATTACAGGAAAAACAATTCTCCACACAAATTAGGGGAACCTAATCGAACTACGCTATTTAACTAAGCAGGAAACAAAAGTTACTAGTCGTAATGATACAAGCACAGAATCTGATGTCACCCAAAGCTGTGGTATAAACGTGTTGTGAAGACAGGGGAAAAAGAAGAGTAGTGAGTGCTGGAAATAACTAAATCCTTATCTCTACAATAGAAAATTAATGAATTCTAACACTGACAAGTCAGAACATCACCATATAAGCACATTATTTAGAAGCCTGGCAGCAAAGACCAAGAGAAAGAACAGAAAGGGAAGGTTGGTTGTCTCGGCAGCATGCCAATGAGACGGCAGTGGTTGGAACTGCCATGTTCCATCCTCTGAATACTACTTCTCAAAGTATATCTTCTGAAAGTATATTGTGTGCTGATGAAAATAAAAAATATATGGAAAAGTAAATATCAAAGGTAATGTCTAATAATTCACAAGGATATCCTTTGTCTCCTTTCCCTAAAAAGCAACACTCTTGAAGCCACATTGGAGCCTTCTTTTGACTCCAGTGGGGAATCCGCATGACATGAAGAATGCAACCTCATATTTTACAGCTAACAGCTACCAGACACTCAGAGAACAGGGTAAAACTAAGTAGGAAGCCAACAGTGGTTCTCCAAATTGGACCAGTCGCCTCCACATCACCTGGGAACTTGTAAGAAAGACAAACTCTTAGTCCACATCTCAGACCTACTCTGTCAGAAACACCAGGGGTGGGTGTGCTGCAGCACTCGGCATTTCAACCAGGTGGCCAGGTGACTCAGATGCTTGTTCAAGAGTGAGAACAAGATGAGAGAGAGGAAAAGCAGGATCAGGAATCAGAGGACCCAGACTGTACCCTGACCATCACCAACCAGCTGTGCAACCTCAGACAGCTTGTGCACCTCTGAGCATTGATTTCCTTATGTGTTAAGTGACAGTGTTGGCTGAGATGACTATTGAGAACCCTTTTAGTTCTAGCCTCTGATGTTTAACTTTCTATATATTTTGATAGCTTACTTATAATAATGCTTAAATGTCTAAATTAGCTTCAAGTAATTATATGATTAACATGGTTCTGCACCCA